AGAGAGAGAGAGAGAGACAGAGACAGAGACAGAGACAGAGACAGAGAGAGTGTAGGTATGTGTTTATGTATGCATGTGGGGTGGGGACACATCCCACAGCATCGTATGAAGCCTTACAGTCTCCTTTGGTGAAGTCAAGGTTGATCCATAAGTCAATGACCTCCCACCTGTAAAGTTTGGGAGAAATTATTTACAACTCTATAAACCTTGGTTTTCCCAACTATAAGGAAAAAAGTGTTTCCAGACCTGCACTGATATGCAATTGCCAGGTTTCAATAATGACAATCCTTCGATCAATTAGGACTAATTTTCCCTCAAAATCATTGTCCTTCAAAATCACTTTCCTTCATCAGGTACCATTAATTGAGAAAATGGTAGTGCTCTTTTTAATCAGAATAAACATCTGGTACATTTCCTAAGACTGAAAGCCTCCCTGCATTAGAGCCAGTAGACAGGGAGAAGTGATTAAGTCCTCTTGGGTTCTAAGCCATACAGCTGGGCACAAGATGACTGATGTCCCTCTCTGTGCAGAGAGGTTTGTTTAGCAGTTTGGCAGTTTAAAAGTCCTCATGTCCTAGATCAGAAGCACAAGAGGAGCTCCAAAAGGGAGGAAAGAGATATTAAAACTTTTATGGGATGGTTGCTTTCATCAAAAGATTCTTCTATATCCCAGCCCCTCAGACAAGCATTGTGTCACATTCTTTTGTGAGGACTGGATGGAAGAAGAATCTTTTAAAAGCCTTTTGCTTATTGATTGTCAGGAACAGACTTCTATTTAAATTTTAACAGTTCTCAGCAAGCTTGCAATTCTGAAGCTTGTGAATAGGCAAGTTCTTCCCAAAGTACTTTTTTTTTTTTTTTTTTTGCTACAAATCAGAGTGCCCATGAGATGGATCGGGTTCATTTGTATTAGTTTTCAGTTTAATCTCTTTTCCTGCCAGATCTTTTATCTTCTAGTAGGGAAGAAAAAGGATAAATAAAGAATTCTGTAGCCTTAACCAGAGAACTGAGCAGAGCCTGAGACACAGAGGAGATTAATAGGCCCCATTGTCAAATCAAACTGGGCAGCAGACCCTTCAAGTCAGGTTATAGACTTTCAAGAGCTGTTTACACTCTGAATGAACAAATGGCTGAGGGTCACAAGGGGCAGAGGGTGGCATTGAGGGCAGAAAAAGTGGTGTCTTAATGTGACTTTGTGTGGCCATAGACCTGAGGATAGATAATCTATGCAGAGAAGAGGTTTGTTTGGCTCATGTTTCTAGTGGTTGGAAAGTCCAAATAGCTTGATGTGGCATTCAATGAGGATCCCAGCAGTGTTACAAAATGGCAAGGAAGGAGAAGGGAAAGTGGGTACAGGTAAAGGGACCAAGGGGACATGCCTACTCTCTTTGTAATCACCTGCACTTGAGATAACCAGTCCAGTCCTACAAGAGTAAGAACTCTCTCCTGCAAGGAAAGCATTAATCCTTAAAGCCCCCAATCCTCTCAGAAGCACCACCTCCCAACACCACCTGCCAACCTCAGTGTGAGAGTTGGTAGAGACCACAGCAGGCAGCATCCTGAGGTCTTCCTGCCCCCACCCCTGGCCTGATAGATCCTTATAGTCAATTGATCATGACAACTATCCTTTTGACTTTGTTCTTTCCTGCACTGACTGTCACTGACTCTATCTGAATGATTAGATGAGTCTTTCCCTTCTAGATACTGTGACATCCAAAGGAAGAGGAGTAAAAGATAAGTTTTGTGGAGTGCTGCAGTCAGGGCTTCTGCAGGAAACAGATGGCACTCTTGAATGAGAATGATTGAGGGGGAGTTTTTAAAGAGTGTTTACAGAAGTGCAAGTGGAGCTCCAGTGACCTGGAGCTGGTGACCTCAGACCTGGCTTGACCCGTGGAACACAGAGACCAGGGGAGTCACAGAACTCAAGAGGTTATGTAGAGCTGCCATGCTGAGCCCAGGACACATGGAAAGTCCAAGGCATCTTTTCAGGGGACACAGCAGAGTCTTGCCCCTGATCTCTTTTTGGTTCTCCAGGGGAGGCCAACACGTGAAACTCCAGCCTACCAGACCACTTGCTTGTGGGCAAGTACCCTCAATGTTGACTTCATACACAAGTAGTTGTGGGAGTTCTGTAGCATTCTCTCCATTTTCTCACCTGTTTTAGGTTTTAATTCATGGTAAAATACACACAACAAAATTTACCCTCTTAATCTTTAAGAGTATAATGATATCAAGGAGATTCGCATTATTATGTGATCATTACCAACATGCATCTCCTGAACTGTTTCATGCAGTAAAAGTGAAATTCTGCACCCATTTCATAGCCTTTTTGAATCGCTAGGACATGGTTCTTGACACAAATTAAAGGAGAAATATATTGTGACTCAGTTTCAGCCTAAGGTTGGCTGGCTATAATATAAAACAAGATGGCAGAGCGACACAGTGGACAAAAAGCTACTCCCTCCATGGCAGCCAGAGGAGGAAGGAGCTCAGGAGGGAAAAAAAAAAAAAACCTTCCAGGTCACACCTCCAGTGTCCTGCTCTTCCCACTGGGCCTCACCTCCTCCCAGCATACTCAGCTGTGGATTCATAATTGGATTAATCAGTAATGTCCCATGATCCAATCACCTTCCAAAAGCCCCCACCTTTGAATATATGAGGCTTTTGGGGACATTATAACTTCTTTAAAGTTTTTTTTTTGCTGTCTGTGAATTGGAATTACATAGTGTTTCTGCTTTTGTGACTGACTTGTCTGACTTACTATATATACTTAAAGTTCATCCATGCTATAGCATGAGTCAAATTCCTTTTTTTTTTAACTAAAGAATACTCCCTTGCATGGATGTACACATTTTGTTTGTCCATTTATCCATCAGCAGCAGACATTAGCTTCCTTCTTTTGGCTGGTGTAGATAATGGTGCTGCGAACCTGGAAGTGCAAAAATGCTTTTAGTTGTTTGGAGCATATATTCAGAAGTTAAATGATGGCTAACTGATGCAATTCTATTTCTAACTTTTTTGAGGAAGTGCCATACTGTTTTCTATAATGGCTGCACCATTTTAAGTTCCCATCAATGGTATACAAATCTTCACCAACACCTGTGATTTTCTAATTTGTTTGATAGTAACTACCCTAATGAGTTGAGATAGTACGTCACTGCAGTTCTGACTTGTCCCTAAGTTTTACAGAAGTTTAAACAAAATCAAACTCTTAAGTGAAAGAGCTCATAACCATTTACATTTTTACCAACATGCAGTCTCTGTGTTTTTCTTGCCATGCACCAGTTGTCTTTGAAATGAAGACTATTTCCATAGAAAAACAGCTTGGCAAGGGAGACCCTGCTCCGTATCAGCCATATGGTATTAGGGAAGGCTCTCTTGTACTCTGTGGTGACAAGCAGCCCTCACTTGTAAGAGAGCCACCTGGAAAACCAGGTTACCATGAGCTGCTTGATATGGAGAGGAGGCTGTCAGACTCCAGCGTGAAGAAAAGTAGGTAGGTCTTTCCTCAGTTAACTGGAGGTACATGAAGTGTGTTTTCAAAGGAAACATAAAGAGAGGGGATCCTCATCAACTGTGATTATCTATGTCACCGGAAAGCCAGAGCCAAGAACACAGAATTGCCCAGCTGGTGGGGAAGACTACATTCCCAGAAAGCCATTTTTGGAAGCAGCTTTATTTGAAATAATTAAAAAGATTCAATCTTTGTAGTCCAACTGGCATCATGCTTCAACACAGTTTAACTTGTGGTAAAGAATTACTCAAGTTAACACATTCTGCATTAATGACAGGCATCTCTGTGTGACATTCAACAGAAGTTGCCTTTGGGGGTCTCATTTTCACTTTGGAGCAATTTGTGGCCACTTTCTGGTGACTGTGGGGAGCCAAGTGCTGGGTATGTTTTAATGGGCTCAAGGAATGCACTGCCACACCACAGGCCACACCACCATGTGCGTCCCAAGCACAGGTCTTCAGGAGTCTTAAGAGATGGCTCTGGTTCCCTGTGTGGGAGTGACATGCTGATGACATTGTCTGCAATTTGAGCAAAGCCCAGCACACTAGCAGGAAGTCTTGCATCAGCTCTCTTGGATCATCTCCAGCATGAGTGAGAGGGACCACAGCACCACCTCAGAGGAATGAGCAAGATGGGTGGATTTCCACATGAATCTCCCACTCTGCATCTCACTTTGCTCTGCACTTGGAAATGTAGTCCAGACATCACTGCGCACCAAGTGGGAGCCAGCAGCGGGTGCTTGAGGTCATGCCAGATTGTGTGTGGTCCAAAGCATCACTCTGAAAAACAACTGAGCCAAGAAGCCTATTTAAACTTTGCAAAGCCAGTGGGTCCCACAGAATCTCCGGAAGCCTACCTTTTAGCAACAGCCCATTTGGCTGAAAGAGTCGCTCCTCCACACCTGCCAGAAAGTGGTAGAAAAATATTCCAGACTTGCTGTGAATCCCATCCCATCTCTCCAGCCAGAGCCACTCAAGGCGTGGTGGTAATGGGTTGCCACACTGCAGATGGGTTGCAAAATGCACGGCCCATCTGTCTTTATCATGCTCATTTCCTCTTTTATTAAAATGTTAATGAATATAGTTTTTATTTATCATTCAGTGACATGTGCAATTCTGGGAGACAAATCTGCAGTCTGCCTAACCATGTGAGCCGACAGAACTTTTTCCAATTATATACTGCACCCAGGATTTAGAAACATTTTCATAATTTCTAAAACACCATATGCAGGTTGAACCTAAAATCGCTTTATCTTTTGACAGCAGCATAGGGATAATATAAGGTGTGCTAGGTTAGAAGTGAGAAGCCAGAGTTCACAGGTTACTGGGCATATGACTTAAGCCTCATCAGATAGGGAATAGCCATTCCCTTTCCTAGCCCTGTCTTGGGACGCAGAAATAATAATCTATGGGCGGGCATTTACATTCATTTATCATTCCAACACAGGATTATGTGCATTTTGAATCTGGTTTGCTCATTCCTTTAGACTCTCCCTGGAAAGTACACCTTTCAGATGTTGGTCCAGAGATGACAGGCATCACCGTGAGTGGCCTGACCCCAGCTCGCACATATCAGTTCCGGGTGTGCGCTGTGAACCAAGTGGGCAAGGGCCAGTACAGCACAGAAACAAGCAGGTGAGTAGAGCCCAAGCCTCTTAAGACAAATACATGTGCGACAGTGAGCAGAGACTGTTCTTTGATCAGCACTTAGGGACACTGGCAAAAACTCAGAGCAAAGAATATCACAAAGAGAGCAAATACATCCCTTAGTACAAGTGAGGGAAACAAGCTGGGTGTTCCTTAACTGCTTGGATGTCTTCGGTTTCTCCTGTGGTACTCTGGCTGTGCCTACACAGATGGCTCCAGTGGCAGAGTCCTCTGTATTCAGGAGATTGGGAGCTTACCCAGACTCCAAGAACTGCTATGGGGAGTACAGCTAGTTTTAGGGAGTCATCTCTGACAAGCTAAGCTCTGAATAGCCTGAGTTGTATTGTAGTTGAGATTTAAATGGCTTTTTTCAAATGTGGGAGTTTAAAACGAAAAATAGTGAAAGAGCCAAAGAAAATGATCTAGAAGGAGCCTTAGCCTCTGGGACGCAAGCAGCTCACTCAGCTGGTGATCCTCTCCTCGTGCTGAGAAAGTGGATTTCTTCAGCCAGAACAGGGCACCTCTGGCATCATCCATATCATTGCCTTACCGATTTGCTCCTCTTGGATGATTGTAACACATCTTTCAGTGAGATCAGCCACATTTCTTGTCACCGATTTTTGCAAAAAAGATCTAGATTCTGCATTGTGGAGAATACTGTGGAGGTCTTCTGTGTCTGGTACTTATCTCTTACCCTCCTCTTCCTTTATTTGTAGGTTGATGTTACCTGAAGAACCACCCAGTGCTCCCCCGAAAAACATCGTGGCCAGTGGGCGCACCAACCAGTCCATCATGGTGCAGTGGCAGCCTCCCCCAGAAACAGAGCATAACGGGGTGCTGCGTGGATATATCCTAAGGCAAGTAGCCCATGCTGGCATTCTAGAGGGTCAGTAGGAAGAGTCAGGTTTCTACTTCACTAAGTGTCTATAGGAGCCAATCAGTAATGTGAAGCCACAGGTCAGGGCCCAGATTCTGCAGAGTCAGGGTACTGTGACAAATTGAAGAGCATGAGTGAATGTGGCTCCTTGCAGAGGTCCCTGTGCATGTCCACACAGAAAGGCTACATTCAGTATCAGTGATTTCGTTTTGGCAGGAGAATGGAGGGGGACATTATGGGTAAGGAAGCAAAGCAGGCTATTTATTCACTGTAAATCCTTTAATTCCTTCTTTACTAGGTGCATAGATTTATTCACTTATAATTCATGCTAACTAATTTGACTTATTTTTGAGCCAGTTGTTACCATATTAACATGCTGCTCAGTTTTATCAGATGTAGCATTTCAAGGAAATCAAAACATCTAACTTTTTTCTTACGAGTTTGCAACATTAGGCATTGGAAATGAAACTGATATATTTTGAGATATAGTATAGGGCAAATGCTCACATCTGCCAGTCACATGTGGTTAAAGAGTCGCTGCCTCAGAAGGGATAGGTGAGCTTCTAAAAATATTGAGACAACCATGTGAGAACTTGGCCCTGTTCAAGAGAAGAAATCTCCTTTGCCAAAACTCCTGCTATTATAAAAATCACATGAATATAATAATTGCACTGGTTTATTGACACAGTAAAAAGAAAAACCTAAGGTAGTATTAAAGAATGATTATTAAATTTCCTCTAATATATTATACTGCTGTGGAAATAATTGTTAATTTTGTCAGCTTTATTGGGGCAAGAACTATTGGCATTTACTATTCCCTTTCTCCAAATGTAGGCCCTGGCCTCACACTGTGCTTATGATCAGTAAATACTGTACTTGGTTAACAAAGGTCTTAAGTAGACCTTTGATTTCTCAGATAAAGGTAAGAAGTCATGAAAGCATTGCTTCTTTAAGTCCATTATCTTTATATTTGAAGGACCACTCGTTCCCAGTATACATATGTACAACCTTCCATACCTCCATGAATGCTATTCATCTCTGTGCATGTAGTATTTGTGTCACAATCAATTCACTGCTACTTTCAAGTGTTTGCTCAGGTCCGTGGATTCTTCAGACCATTGTCTGCTTGAGGTGGCAGAAGTGGCCCATCCCGGAATGTAGGAAGGGCTTCACAGCCCCTGTGGTGTTATACCCCTAGCTGTCCTTCTCCATTTAAAGAAGTCAGAGAAATTGCAAGTCATTCCCTACAAACAGGGCCATGGAATCTGCTCCTGCTGATGCTTCTGGACAGCCCTCTGTTCCCTGACCACCTTCTTAGCCTTTCCATTGCTGTGTGGCTGAGGTTCCTGTCCTTTCCTACCTCACTCCTGTGCATACCCACCTCTAATGAGAACGATTGTCCTGCCCTCCTTGATGGCATCTCCTTCACTTGACATCCTGCAGCCCCTGCCTCCCCTGACTCGCAGAGGGAAAGTGTCCGTAGGCTGTAGCTATCAAGAAGGACTTTCAAGTCATCCCGCAGAAGCAGGCTCGGGATGCAGTGTTAATAATAACATCTCTCTGATGCTATGAGGCCACATCAGGGAAGCACATTTTTCTGTTTTGTGGGATTACTGCTGTTAAAAGGATTTACCACGATGGTGTCAGTAGAGTTGAGTGCCAGAGAAGAGGGCGTCTGTATTTGTTGGGGCTTAAATCAAGAAAACCTTAAAATAGGGGCATGGTATCCAAGGCCTGTGAATATCAAAGTTTTCAGAAAGTAAAGACCCATGCCAAAATGAATTTTCCTGGAAACATCTTCAAATAATCCTCTGGTCTGCAAATCAGCACTCCGTTTGCAAGCATGCATCCTCCAGGGCACAGTCTCTGTCAAAACCGAGGCCCAGTACATGAAGAGCAAATGGAAATAAATCACCTCCATGGCTCTGGCCATAAGAAGTTGTTAGGCTGCGTGGGCAGTAATAAAATATTTATAATAATAGGCAGGGTGTTTCTTTTAGAGGATCAGAGGGTTATGTCCTCTAAAAACATTCTCCTGTTTATTTCTGTATAAAAAATCATGTTGTTCTGGCTGAGCCAGTCTCATGGGCAACATAGCCTACCAGTAAAAAAAGAGGATGCCCTGCAATCCCCTTATTAACTGTGACCTTCTTAGACATCATATGAAAGTTACAAAAGCATCCTGAGCCACTGGTTAGAGTGGGCCAACCTGCCTTTCCAGCAGGGAGTACAGATAACTTTGAAGTAGTGAGTTCTGCTGTTTATTTTCACTGTCTTAGAATGGCATAGAAGAACGTAGTTGGCTTATACAGGACTCCTCTTCATCCTTAAATTTATTTTGTGTCCTTCCATCCTGCCTTCTTTCCTTCTATCATTCTCCTCCTCCTCCTCCTCCTCCTCCTCCTCCTCCTCTTCCTCCTCCTCTTCCTCTTCTTCTTCTTCTTCTTCTTCTTCTTCTTCTTCTTCTTCTTCTTCTTCTTCCTTTTCTTCTTCTTCTTTTGTAGTAATGTTGGGATAGGAACCAAGGTCTTTGCACTGAGCTACATCTTAGATTTTTATTTTTATTTTAAGACAGAATCTTGCCAAGTTAAGTTGTCCAGGCTAGGTTCAAACCTGAGATTCTTCTGCCTCAGCCTGCCAGAGTGGTGGGATTACAGGTATGCACCATAGATTTCCTGTCTTACAAGTTAGAGTCATCTCTCCCATGCTTCAATAGAAGAGCATACTTAAAACATTTCCACATCCCTTCCCATCATCCATTGTTTCATTCATTCTTGCAACAGCTGGGATGAAATGCTCTTACTCTAATTTCCATTTTGAGGAGGTGGAAACAAAGCTTAAAGACGTTCAGAATTTGCCTGAGGTCACCCAACTCATAGTGGCTAAACAGGGACTCCACCTCAACCTTCCCAAGTCAATTTCTTTCCTTTTTTATGGAATGTTTATTGTCTAGTGATGGGTACACAGGAGTGAGCCCTTTCTACATAGCGTTAGTCACTATATCCCATTGGCTTTGGGTCAGTGATGGCAAACCTTTTTGAGCTTTCAGCGATACAAAGAGAGTGCTGTGGCATGCATACCATAAGTTCACCGCCACTGTGGGCAGCTCTCGGTAGCAGTCACGTGCCCAGGCTACTCTGATGTGGATGTGGAGCCAATTTTTTTAATTTAATTTATAATTTCTAAATTGCTAATTGTCCTCAGTGCCATTTATGTTTAAAGTTCTTCATTTGTATGGGAATTTAAATGGAAATGCCTGTCACATGGGTTAGTCCGTGCCAGGCCCAAGCTGCAGCCATGTCCTCCCTTCAGGCAAGAGACTAAGGGAAGCCTGAGCCTTTTGCATTTAGGTGCTCTCAGCTCTTGACTATCTATGTTGCCCCCCACCCAAACCAGCCTCACCAAGTACAAATCTCTAACAAGAGAGGGTGAAGGAATGCTGCCAAAAAATTCTGATTTTTATGCAGAAACTTCTCTCGTCTTCTGCCTGCTTCCTTATTACATGTTCCGCTGTCATTCTCTTTAGAAGATTGTTTTACATAGAAGGAACTGAATTTTGAGTTCTTTGATTTTTTCCAATAGTGATGGCCTTACAGATGCACCTGTCCACACTCACCTTTCTCAGCTATGTTCCTTCATGCAAAGGTGCCCTGCCCTGGGGACAGGCAGCACCGTGGAGGAAGCTGGGAATCCCAGCAGGCCGTGACAAGTGAATGAATATATTGCTGCTACTCTGGTTTTGGTTCCCTCATCAATCATTTCCCCTTTCTATTTATCAAACAAAGCCACATTCTTTGAGCAGTTATGTACCACTTTTGGGGTAAAAATTAGATGTTTTTGAAAGCTTCAGGATGACTAGGAAATCACCTATATTGCACATATCTTTTGTCTTGCCCTGGGGACTGGTCTAGAAAAGCTCAACAAATTAACTGAGTTAGTTCAGTACATTAACTTCTATAAACTGAATCATAGAAGAATGTTTGCTAATCAAAATTATATTCTAAAAGTCCTTTCATAGTACAAAGCAATTTCCTAATTTATGCATTTTCTGAGTGCAGAGTTGCATAAGTCACCTTTTTAATAAACATGATGTTAAATTTCTGGCTTTAATAAACTAAAGAGCATGCTCCCCAGGCACTCACTAAGGTCCCTAAAAAGCGCCATGTCATATTAGCAAAGAATTTCCATTTAAGAATGTTAACACCTTCTCAAAGCCACTTATTCTCATTCTGGGATACACTTGGAGGAACCAAAACTCCTAGATAGTAACAGAATCACATCTTAGCCCATAAATGTCAAGAAGTCACATGCTTTCTGCTTCTTGATGTTTCCTTACATTGCAGTCACAAGGGGATGATGTTTCTCAAGCCCCTATGGATATCATGTTTAGAGTTTTGGGTAGTCAGTCACTGTACACTCTAGACAAGTTACATTTTAAAAACTATTGTTTTAAGTTACATTTAAAAAACTATTGTTTTTCTGTAACCGTAATACATTGAAATAGCTGTTACATTATGCCCAGAAATTATAATCAGTGTGAGAGTAAAGTATACCTTTTTACATAGTTAAATTAACAAGTGGTGTTATCTGGGGCTGCCTCCTCAGTTCTGTGTGTATCTGTTTACCTCAATTTTCCTCTAACAGAATAGCCACAGTAGCTCCTACCTGAGCTATTTCTTTGCTGTCATGGGCTTCTTTCTGATGCAGGTACCGCCTAGCAGGACTGCCTGGGGAACATCAGCAGAGGAATATCACCAGCCCGGAAGTGAATTACTGCCTGGTAACAGACCTGATCATCTGGACACAGTATGAAATCCAGGTGGCTGCATACAATGGGGCTGGCCTGGGCGTCTTCAGTAGGGCTGTGGCTGAGTACACCTTACAAGGAGGTAAGCTCGCTTTCCAGAAGTCCCAGGCTATGGAGTCTGAATCAGGAGTGGAGTTTGTGAAGTTTGACTGGAGTGTGTTGGGATAAAATTAAAGGATGCAGTCTCCTAGGAAGCATTTAAAAGATTACCACTCTCTTTACTTATTTCTAAACTGGAGCAATGTGATAGAAAGGTTGCAAATAATGTCCCGCCTGCATTTTTCTAGGTAGCAAAAGCAGAACATACCTAGGAACATCCTTTATTAGTGTACCTATTCCTGAAAGGGTTGCAGAAGTAAACTTTTCTAAATGAAGATAAGTGTCTGGTTTTCAGTAAATCTGCCAGTGGAGTTCTGTGTGATGCTGTGATTGTCTTTAAAAGAGAATGATTATAATTTTATTTTTAATGATGGAATATGAATATTGGTAATGGAAGTCTCAACTCTGTTCCTTTTTTTTTTTTAGCAATTTATTAGATAGATGAAAAACCTCCACACCCCTGAAAAAATGACCAGATAGAATGTCAAAAAGCCACTGGATATTAAATATATGTGTTAAGGCCTAGCTGTTATTTAAAGTCTTTCCACAGCATCTAACCTCACCCCCTACCTTCTCCCACATTGTGTCTCAGCCCCAGCAAGAGTTGGCTGACTGGGACACTTTCTCTCCACCTACATTTCATCATTATTGTTCTGAGCAGTAATAAATAGACCCTTTCTTGACATACTGCATTTGTCCTGCAGCAGCCCACATCCTTGCCCAGGGAAGTAATTTATCCACAAAATCTAAAATCCTTTTTCCATTCAGCGATTTATACCTTCTTCTATTCACAGGTGTGATTTTATTTGCTTAGGTATTTTTATGGCTGCTAGGCCCTGACCTTCTTCAAATGATAAGGTTTCTAACTGCCCACTTCTCTCCCCAAATCATGCCTGAGACCTAATGTTCCTTGATATTACATGCTGTTATTATCATCCCTTATTGATTGGCTGTCTGTTGTCATCCCCAAGTCCATAAATCCTCCTTTATAAATTAAGTGCAGTCAGTTCCGCTGGCACAGTGACTAGCAGAAATATTAAAATGCAGGGCAGCTAGGAAGGACTTGTCCATCTGCAGGTAATTCTAGATTACTCATTTGAAGAGGAAAATAACTGAAAACTTGGACAATGAATGTTTGCTTTAATTAGTCTATTTAATAAGATAACAATAAACTTGAAAACAGTTAAAATGACTAATGTTGCTATTACTAATCCCCTATTATTATTAACTGTGACTGCCTTGTTTTATTATCGGTGCATTTGAATTCTGTGTAGAGCACAGGAAAGCAGGTTTCACCTTGATTAAGAGGGCCTTTTAGGCTTCAGACTTTGGCTTTCATGCAGCTGGCATTGGGGAGTCACTAAAGGCATAAGAGCTGTGAGTGACATGATTAGAATGTTGTATCTGAAGATGGATCTGTGCAAGGGAGATGGAAGCAGAATGAAGGCAGCACCTCCAGAGATGTCAAAGCAGTAACTTGACTGTGCAGTGGGAGGAGCTCCTGTGTCTACTCTGCCCTGATAGCTGGCACTGAAGATGGATCAGGATAGGCCTTTGGATGGTACTTTCAAAATAGTTCCCGTGTATCACCCTGCAATTCTCTAAAGGAATGTTGCTCAGTTTCACAGCCTCATCTGATACTTCCTGCACAGGAGAACTGCCCGTAAAAACAGATTGTTTGCCTAGACCCTTCCTGCAATTGCCTGCAATTTACAGAATACAACAGGGCATGTTGTGCCTCCAATCACTTATGCATAAAGAACTGTATGTTGGTTAACATCAACTTAGTATGAATCACATGGGCCAGCACATAATGAAACCACCTTCCAGTCCTTGGAGTGAATACCACTGTTATCTGTCATTAGCAGTCCTAATAACAGTGAGACTTCTCTTATTAGGTATGATTGGGAATGATCTGGAGGGCCAGGAGTGATGAAGTCACTGGAGTATCTTTGGCTCCCTGAAAGACTTTGCTTTCCTCATGGATGAAGGCCAAACTTCTATTCCATTTTTGTTTACATCCAGTTCTTCCTCTGTTTTTGCTAACTACTCAGAGATAATACTGGTGGCCAAGGACACATGGCAGGTTCCCATTTGCATCCCTTCTAGATCCTCGAGGTCTTTCCTTTACCTTGATGTTTGATGCTAAGTTTGAAACATGGAACCCAGAATTCAACAGGCTTCAGGCCTGACTTGTTTCTTGTCTTCAGTCATCATGTAGCATTTTTGTTTTGATGCTCTCATGGACTTCTCCATGTATACATGGCTTCCCTGTACACATACCATGACCATCTTTGCTGTCCCCAGCCCAAGCCTTGTGTGAGGAGACTTCCTTGTATGGGTTTCAGGAACACAGCAGAGTCTGTCGTTTCTACCAGGGACTCAGCCTTTTCCTCTGCATGTTTCCCACTTCATTGTGTTCTGCAGGACTGTAAATGCCCTGCGTTTTCTGTGGTTCAGTCACTTCATGTTCTTTCTGAGCCACTGAAAGAATTTCTTAAGACTATGACAGCTTCAGAGATGTCCCCAGGAAGTACCTGCCCACCCAACCCAGCTGGCTCAAGGGAAGCATTGAGCCCCAGGACAAATCAGGGGTGATAATACTTACTAATCATAGTGTGTAGACACGTTCTGGATTTGGCTGTGGCACTAACCCCAAGTTCATTGTAGTGTTTACACCTTCCATGCTATAAGGGTACCTGTAAAGAAAGGAACAGGAACACACTCTGAAAATGACACACACACCAGTGGCAGTACTGTTGTCCTCTGTTTTTCTAATATGACAGCAACTAGTATGTTCTGTTGTATTTGAAAGTTTCTACATTAATTGTCTTACAGAAAGAGATTTAGGGTTATTCCATCTGCTAACAGTAGAGTCAGATACACACATTCAGGAACCGTCATGAGCATCTACTATGTGCTGGGAGCTATGGATCGGGCCTTGTCATAGAAGTAGAGGAAACACCAAGCATGATGTCAGCTTTGGGGTATCTGGGGAGGCCCCACAGGTGAGGTAGAGGGAAGGTGGGGCCAGGGGAGAACTAGCAAGGTAATCAGCCTCGCTTGTGTGGTTTCTCATTCACCCACAAGTCAGAGGCACCAGACATGTGCAGAAGGTCCCCTGTCAGGACACTCAGGCCATAGACATGAAAGTCACCATTAAAGAAGGGCTGATTGGGATCTCAGAGGCGGGGCCGTGGAGTGGAGTAAATTTGCAATGTTGGTTAGAAAGGATGTCTAGCTGCTAGAAACAGACTACATGGGATAGCACCTTAAACAGAATAAAGATATGTCTTTATTTTTCTCATGTAAGACAAGCAGGCAGTGGGGCATAGGTGGAGGGTTATGAGGGCAGCTCCAGGGTCAAAAAAGAATCTTTTGTCTTTTTGCCTTCCCATCTTTAGAATTTGCCTCATGGTCACAAGCTGACTACTGCAGTGACAGCCCTCATGTCCACATGCTGGAAGTCAGGATAGAGGGAGAAACAGAGTTATACCTCTTCGCCAAGTATATTCACCTTTAAAGGTCTTTTTTAGAAGTTTCATGACTTCTGTTTACAATTCATAGAAGTCTTTGTGCAGGGTAAGCTGAAAATGTAGTCTTTTCACAAGTATGTTTCTGTCTGTTGCCTGGGGAGAGAAGGGGATGGAGGTGCAGTTAGCACTTCCTGCCTTACTCTCTAAGATGACCTGCTGAGTAGTAAGCCAGGGGTTCCACAGTTTCTAAGTATGAAACTGCACCACCTCTGAATGTTGGCTGCCCGGGAGGGAGCAAGTGCCAAAAGGCCTAGGGAATTAGTAGGGCTGTAGAATTACAGCTCCTCTAGGCCCATGACTCCAGCCGGTTCCCCAGAGTGCCCTCAAGCTTGGCTCTAAGGCCAGGTGAGCTGGTGGGCAGTAGCTGAGCAGTGTTTCCCTGCCTCTGGGAACCTGCTTTGCATTCTTAGAGTATTCTACAATTGTGACCACTGAGAGTGGGCTGAGCAGGTCCTTCAAGATGAAGGAGTAATTGAAATGCCTGCGTAGAAGGAGGAAAAGAATAATTCATAAAATTAACTACTTATCAGTTTAATTCAGTAAATTATTGGAATGCACCAAAATGTAATCTGATGATCCATCAGATGATCCTAAGAAAGGCAAAAGGTGTTCAGGCTGGGTAGGGAAGGAGGACATTTCTGTCCAGTCAACTTGATTCTCCTCTCTCATCCAAATGGTAGGCTTGGTCCACTAGGGGAAGGAGTTGTAATTCATTTTGACTCTATAGACTCTTGGATGGAGCCCTCTGGAGAAGGTATAAGACCACAGGGAAGCCATGCACTCACACAGTCGATCAATGGACATGAAATTTGTTAGGAGCTACTCTCAGAGAGAGATCATAAATGATGCAGCACTGGCCTGAGGTGAGGAGAGCATAGGGCACAAGAGCTGCACAATTGGTACCAGTATCAAGAAACAGCAACAAAACACTCATTTGTACCAGCCCCATTTCTAGTACACATACACTTGTCTCAGATGTGTTTCCTTCCAGGAAGCTCCTTAGGAAAACGAAGCAAATTGTTTCTGCCCTGAATTCAGCTGTGTGATATTGTGCCTTGAAGTCTCAAATCCACTGCTCACCTCCCCTGAGCCCCAGATTCTTTTGAACCCCAAATATTATTGAGATGTTTTAGAAATGTAGGGTTCTCCACGGTAAAGCTCTGTACAGACTCTGGATAAGGCCTGGTGCTTAGGCCTGCAGGAATTGGCTGATACATACTTTCTAACTTTCCCAACTTTTCATATCCTCCTCCATCCACTATCCCCATTATCTTGTCCGCCAGTCTCATTTAATAGATTTTATTAGCAGCGCCTCCCCGACCTTTTCTTCTCAAGGCATTTTAAACCAGACATATTAACTTACAAGTCGAGCAGCACAGCTCTAATATGACTTCAGCCATGTGAACTCTCAGTGGGGTGAGAGGAAAGGTTGGCTGGACCACAGAAA